TCACTTAAAAGCTTCCAGTAAAATATATGCTTCATACCATATCCAATTCTGCATATAAGTAATTCACACAGACTTGCTGATGTGGTTTGGGACACAGCATGATGTGATCTCATAAGACTGATATATGACATTGGGGTCTAGAGGTGTGAATTGGTCTGAACCCACAAGGAAAACATGCCAGGACATATAAGTGCAATCCAGTGCAATCAGGAATTCCTCAAGTCCCAATGTAGTAAGGCCAATTAAACATGCTGCAGACAACTCCTACCCCCAGCAACACCCCAATCAGACATAGTTTGTTCCAATATGAAATATATGGATTCTGTAATTATCTTTCAAGCCAGTTATCTTCCTGGTCCTGTGTACAAAATTCTTATCAAAAGAGTGTTCAAGAGACTGTTGAGTCTTGACCTGAAGAGTGTCTCTTTTCCTTCAGGTGGAGGAAAACCATTGAGTCTTGACCTGAGGAGATTCTCTTCTCTTCAGGTGTAGGTAGACTGCTGAGTCTTGAACTGAAGATTGTCTCTTCTCCTTCAGGTCAAGATGGACCACTTAATTTTGACCTGACTGGTGACCTTTATCATTTAGTTGGATGTAGACTGACAAGTCTTGACCTGAGGAGTACCTCTTCTCCTTCAGGTTTTGGTAGACCCCTAAGTCTTGACCTGAGTAATGTCTCCTCTACTTCAGGTGTAGGTAGTGACAGTGTACGAGTGTCACTTCTGTATCAGGTGTATGTACCCTGAAAAGTCTTGACCTGAGAAGTGTCTCTTCTCTATCAGGTGTAGGTGGCCTGTTAAGCATCCTAAACTCGAGGTAGACCACTGAGTCAGAGTGGTCTTTCAGTGTGGGTTAAATGAGGTTTTATATGGGTATACCACTGAGGCTTGACTTAAAGAAATGGTCCCCATAGTAACCTAGCTAGCTAGAAAATGTAGATGGGATTAGCTGTAGATGCTAAGGATGGAATTCTGATTGTTATGGTATATTTTGAAATGTTTGGTCGCTGTTTATTATTAGCAATAATCAACACTCTACTGAAATACTACTTGTGTATAGTTATGTCATGCGTATTCATATATATTTGGAATTTCTTCGGAGTATAAAGGTTTAAAGATATTCCGAGGCCATTTTAGCAATCTATTGGGCATTATGAGCAAATTAAACATGTATTATTCAGCAAATATTATTTAGTGGTTAAAATGTTCAAGTTTTGTAAGTTTCTCTTCCTTCTCTTTATAGTTAACCAAAGATGAAAGGAGTGACAATGAAGAAGAGGAAGACGATGAAGGGGAGAACAGCACACTCGAGGACCATGATGGACACCCAAAAGTCACCAATGGTTGTGGAGCCAACCATCACTAACCAACCGGACACGTTGCTGATGACTGAAGGAACCTAATGAAGTTTTTTTTTAATTTTTTTTTTAAGTTTTTATTTTTTGGATGAAGACCTAGACTCCTATGGTGTTCAGCCTCAATTGGCTTCAGACTATGAGAGACACTTTTGATTTATTACAACCATGAAAGTGCCAGAGATTTGACCAGAAACACACTTGTATCTGTCGGCAATACAAACCCAAACAAGTGCTTGTTTCCTTTTCCTTAGTGCCAATAGAGTCTGATTGCCTTGGCTCCTCCGTTCTTGCTAGCCACACTCTCTACATGAACCACAAACCAAGCAAGAAGAAAAAGATCCCAAAAGGAAAAATTTTCCATCGTGCTTAATCTGATCCTTATTGTTCATTGGAACACAATACTACAGAGTGACCTGGATGCCTTTGAGGCTCCTCTGCTGTTTCTCATCAGTGAGATGAAATCATACTATTGGTTTTTACCTTGCTTGAAGACACTATAGGGGGAAAAAAAATCCTAATCCCATGATGTGAGGTCCAGATGTTGTATTGAAAATTTGCATTCTAGAAAAAAGCATTACACTGAATGTAGTACCCCAGCACAAGACAAGTTTGGTGTTCAAAGTTTGCTTGTTCAGCTTCATGGAGGAGAAATAAGGCTAATGTTGCTAACAAGTATGAGAAATTAACTTATAACTAGTTTAACATGTGCAAATGCAATGTGTAAATTGTCACCCATTTGCCTGATTGTAGCGCTGTCTTTGTTTGAAGAGTCTTATTTAAGGTACTCTTGAAAAGTGAGAGAGTGCAGGAGAGAGCCAAGAACAAATGAATGCAAATGGAGAACAAGTAGAAGTAACTGTTTCTTTTTTACTTGAACTATATACTTGTAGTTGTTTTTTTAATGTTTATGTTAAATATATCCCAAAACATGTGTGCTTTGACATTTGATAAAAATGGTCAGAAGAAAGATTTTATCATTGAAAGTTGACTATAAAGTATTTTGTTTTAATAAAAACATGTTTTATCAAAGAAATTGTTAGGTAATTAATCTTATCTCAGACTTACTTGATGTAAAAGCAAGTGGTTTAACAGAGATAAAGCCATGTGATGCAGTCAAGAATATAATCAACAATCCTGACTTGCCTGCAGGCAGCCTAGTATTAAATGTTTAATTAATTTATTTATTTATCTTCATAACTGCTTTATCCTGGTTGGGGTCACTTTATGGGAGGAAGTGTATTAAGGATAAAGTTTAAAAGTTTAAAAGTTTAGGAGGGGATCCATGTGAGCATGATGATATTTCATACAGACAATAACCCAAACTCAGGACTCAGGAGCTATGATGCAGCAACACTACATTAAAAGTGGGACACTGTGCTGCCCATTCAATGTTTCAGTACGTATGATTTATAACTGGGGCAGTGACAGTGATTAAGGTTCAGTGACAGCGGTTGGAAGAGTGAGTTTAAATTTCAATACGGGCAAAAAGCCACTGCTGGGCCCTTGAACAAGACCCGCAAACCTCAACTGCTCGGCTGTATTATTGGATTGGGTTCTGTCCCACTTGTAAGTCCCTTCAGATAAAGGCATCTACCATATGCATAAATGGAGAAAAAAAATCAGACCATGAAGTATGTCAGTTGACCTCTAGAGGGAGCAATTCACCACAAAAATTGCAAAATCAAGGGGAAGGGAGACTGCTTCTGTATCTGTTCTCAGATTAAGGTTCCTCCAAAAAATCTCCTTCTCTTAGTGGAAGATAAGCTGTTTGCTGTAGGTGGCCATTGGGTGTCTTCTCCCAAAGTGTGGCCTATTCAGAAACTGTTTGTCTGGAGCTTGGACCTCTTTTGGTGTCCTTCATCGGCACCAGCATCATCAACACTTGAAAAAGAGAAGAGAGTGGAGAGGAAAAATAAAAAAGAGAAAGATCCAAGGACTATGATGGACACCGGAAAGTCACCAATGGCTGTGAAGGAAATTGTGGAGCAAAACTTCACTAATAGTTTAAGACACTTCCCTGGTTCACTGTTGACAACTAAAAGGTTTTTGCATTCTCCATTTCGATGGCTAGATATGTCAGATCAAGACCTCCAAAGAGTTTTACTGTGCATGATGCCCTGCCATAATCATGACGCCTTTGGGGTTAGTTATAAGAAGTTCCCTTGAATGGCGACATATTTTTACTCTTGTCCATGCAAACTCATTTTCAAATTAGGTTGCGATGTGTCTGTCTGACAGACCTTCTGTGAGTGTGTTACATGGACAGGCATCTTATTTACTGTGATTCAGACTACCACTGTGGCAGCTGAACTCTCAAGCTGGACACTTCTGCCAAGCTGCTCCCTTATAATGGCCAACTCAGTCATGCCAGCTGCTTTGCTGGCTCTCAGAGGTAGCTAAAGGTCTCCTTGGCAGCTGTGCCAATTAAAAAAGAAAACAGGACTAATCCCTCACTGACCCACTCTAAAGTCAGCCGGGGTTCTTTTCTCAGATCCACCACGAGGTTCCCAATCAGATTCTACAAAACGATGTTCCCCACAGAACTGATCTCGGAAGGACTCATAAAATGTAGAAGCAAAGAGGTGTTTTGTAATTTTTGATGGGTTAAACAACTTAACTGATGGCACACACAACTGACGTGTCAGTGTTACAGGCTTGGAATTCCCAGCATTGTCTAAAATCACATCCCTAACACTCTTCACGTTTTAAATCCTATGAAAATGCTCAGTTCCACATCAGGGTTCCTAGTGCACAGCATGAGTTTAGCTAAAAAAAAAAAAAACAGTTAGTCAGGGTCAAAGGTGAAGTTCAGATTGTTGGGCCCCATTGGTTATCAGCCTTGATAATTCAAAATGCTGGTTCTGTTGGCACTAGAGTATAATGTCCTGTTCTGTTTAATTTTTTTTGTATTGTTTTTGCTTCCTGAGGGATTCGAACAACGTCATAAAAATTAGCTGATATGTTGAATCAGGTGTGTTACACTATCAATAAATGTGATAAAATGGTCATCAGGTCAAAACAAAGAATGACGGCATGTTATGTATAACTGCCTATTTCACCGCTTCTGTATTTAACTGAAACTCCTCAAAAGCTCAAATAGCAATGCTCTCATGCCTTTGTGGTTTTACAGCCTTGTTCTTTTGATTTTACTCTCGTTGGAGCTATAATCTGCAAGTCTGCATGTGAACTCAGAGTTCTTTGGAGTGGGGTCAGAGAGGGATTAGTCCTGTTTTGAGTGGCTTTGATTTCTCTTTTTTTATTCACTTGCACAGCTGCCAAGGAGACCTGGCAGCTGCCGTGACTGAGCTGGCCATGATAAGAGAGCAGCTTGGCAGAACTGCCCAGGTTGAGAGTACTTGATAGCTAGTGATTTGACATGACTTGACAGATGAGCCATGGCAAGTAGATGCTGCTGTCCATTCACGTTAATGTTTTTTAAAAAAATATATAGTGTAATAGTAATATAATATTAATATCAGCTTATTTCTTGTGCTTTTGCCTTCTCTTACCTCAAGAGTTCAACTTCATCACCAGTAGCTGGACAAATGCATGCATACTAAAAACAGATATATAGTCTTATACAGTATATGTTGCTATATTTGACATTTACCTTATATCCAAATTACTTACATTCTCTATGAGGTCCCTGGAGGACTAGTGGTTAGGCCTTGGCGCACTCACCGCCACGGCCCGGGTTTGATTCCTGGCCAGGGAACCTACCCCAGCCACTAGGGTTTCACAAGACAGTACACCCCCAGTGCCGGTCCTAAGCCCGGATAAAAGTGGGGATAAAATCCGCTGTGGCGACTCCAAACAGGAGCAGCCAAAAGAACAACAACTTACATGTCTATATGATCACGAAGGTACACATTCATCATGCAAATAAAAGAGTATGTCTCTTTTACGTGGCAGTAACATTGTCTAAATATAGCAGGGTAAGTTAGAGTGCAAGTGGTGTACCTATGGTGGTCTTTTTCCATTGATTGATAGGTAAAGGGGGGGCTGACAATCTGTGCAGAGCAACAGATGGGCTACATACAGGTGCATTTCAACCATTTAAGTCATATGTTGTGTATATTTGGACAAATGATTGACATTGATGATCTTGTATACGCAACACATTGTACAGTTTTTGCCCATTGAACAGATTTACATAAACATCACTGCCAATCATATGTCTGCATATATGCAACATATGACCGAAGTGATAGAAATCTACTTGTAACCCATTGGTTGCTCTGCACAGTTTGTCAGCCCACCTGTACCTGTCCATCATTGAAAAAAAAACCCAACAACAACCATAGGACAACCACTGACCATATTATTTGGGTGTTGGACTATTCCCAACATTGTCATGTAAATATACGTGTGTTTATCAAGTACCGTTTTATTATGATTTATATGTGAGTGACATATCAATCAATGTTATACACCATATTTATTTAAAAATAATAATTAATTTTAAGTGTTTGGCATTTATAAATATAAAGGGATTCATTTATAAATATAATCAGGGATTGAGCTATTAATAATGAATTCCTTTATATAACATTTAAGTATAATCATATTGCATATTAGATTTTAGAACTGTGGGAAAAAAAACACTTACTTAAAAGCAAAATACTGAATAAACCTCCTCCTGTGGATTAAAACATCTGCGTTCACTACCTGCACTTTATCTGCAGCGTGGAAACCACGTGTACGCGTTCTGCCCACCGCTGTGAGTGATCGCGCGACTGTCCAATCACCTCGCAGGAACCTGTTTCGCATAAATCTCGCCGACCAATCCGGTGTCAGTGGGCGTGTCTTCCCCTTCGGTTTTGTCCGCTTTGCTGCAGCGGTTCATTTCTCCCAAAACTTTGCCCAGCTTGTGCTGACTTCGCTCTCGCTTCTCCGGCAGTGATGCGTAGCTACAGGGCTCCTCCGCTTCTGCTGCCCCTTTTCCTTCTTTCTGTTGGACTGAAGGCAACAGTAGGTAAGAATGTAGCCACTGCATTTCTTAGCAACTTCGTTAAAACCGTCCTGTCTGCAGCGTAGTAACACTTCTCTGCGTGTTAACGGGTTTGCTGCATAAGTTACAGATTTGCTGGAGCCCCTTCTGCAGCACCCTTCTAATGCACAGCGTCTGCATGGACTGACGCAAGTTCTCATGAAGAGCTTTGTTTATGCAGCACTTTTATGCATGCACTACAGAGACAGAACTGTTTCTATCACTTCAAATCCTATTTCCTTCATACAATAATCTCCCCTCTGCTCCCTCTATACTTAATTTTACAGCCTCTATACTCATTCATACTGCCTCTATAATAATCCTACTGCACTATACTCACTGCTGGTGCCTGTACATTAATCCCTTCCTGCCTCCCTTTACTCACTCCTACTGCCTCTATAATAAACCTACTGCACTATACTCACTGCTGGTGCCTGTACATTAATCTCCTCCTGCCTCCCTTTACTCACTCCTACTGCCTCTATAATAATCCTACTGCACTATACTCACTGCTGGTGCCTGTACATTAATCTCCTCCTGCCTCCCTTTACTCTCTCCTACTGCCTCTATAATAATCCTACTGCACTATACTCACTGCTGGTGCCTGTACATTAATCCCCTCCTGCCTCCTTTACTCACTCCTACTGCCTCTATAATAATCCTACTGCACTATACTCACTGCTGGTGCCTGTACATTAATCCCCTCCTGCCTCCCGTTACTCAGTCTTATTGCCTCTATAATAAATCCCCTCTGTTCCCTCTATACGCTTACTATAACTGTAATAATGCCTTCCTGCTCCCTCTCTGCTCACTCCTACTGCCCTGTACTCACAGCTCTTGCCTCTATAATAATCTCCTACAGACCCCTCTCTACTCACTCATGTCGCCTTTATATCCACTCCTACTGCCTCTATACTCATTTCTACTGCCTCTATAATAATCCTATTTCCTTATACTCACTGCTGGTGCCTGTACATGAATCTCCTCCTGCCTCCCTTTATTCCCTCCTACTGCCTCTATAATAGTCCTACTGCACTATACTCACTGCTGGTGCCTGTACATTAATCCCCTCCTGCCTCCTTTACTCACTCCTACTGCCTCTATAATAAATCCCCTCTGTTCCCTCTATACGCTTACTATCACTGTAATAATGCCTTCCTGCTCCCTCTCTGCTCACTCCTACTGCCCTGTACTCACAGCTCCTGCCTCTATAATAATCTCCTACAGGCCCCTCTCTACTCACTCATGTTGCCTTTATATCCACTCCTACTGCCTCTATACTCATTTCTATTGCCTCTATAATAATCTCCTACAGGCCCCTTTCTACTCGCTCATGTTGCCTTTATATTCCCTTCTATACAAACCACCTGCTGCCTCTGCACTCACTGCTGCTGCCTCTATACTTACTGCTGCCTCTGTAAAAATCTCCTCACGCCTCCTCTTTACTCACTGCCATTATCTTTATAATAATCCCACCCAGGCCCTTCTTTACTCATTTATGTTGCCTCTATATTCACTCCTACTACCTGTATAATAATCTGCTTGTAATCTGCTCCTCTCTACCCACTGCCTCACCCTCTATACTCTATCATGCTGTCCTAATCACCTCCTAATAATCTCATTTGCTGTTACTGTTACTTTCTGATTATATAACAATCCACTTACACTCACTCTATACTCACTCTTGCTGCTTATATACTCAGTCCTGCTCTCTCTGTACTCACTCCTACTACCTCTAATATGTATTATATACTATACTGCCTTTAATAATCCACACCTACTATCTCTGTATTCACCTCTACCTCTACTGCCTGTATAATAATCCACCCCTGCTCCCTCTATACTCATCGCTGCTCTCTCACTCTTGCTGCCTGTATATTCAGTCCTGCTGTCACTACACTCACTCCCACTGCGATTGTAATAATCTACACCTACTGCTTTTACAGTAGTCCACTCCCAGGCTCCCTATACTCATCTCTGCTCACTCTGTACTCATATCTACTGCGTCTATAATACATTCCCATTACATCTGTATTAAAACCAGAGCAATATGAAAAATGCGTTACACCTAAGGAGCTATAAACTTTGATAACCAGTAGTATCGGATGAATTAGTTTTATTTGGCTAAGCATTCACTAATAGGTTTAAACAGGGCTTCACTTCGGTAATTTGAATTTCTCAACCTCAAAAGCAGAAACTGAAGCACAAGGCACTTACCCGTTTATAACGTGACTATTAAAACAAGTGTCTTGTCTCTTGAGTGGTGCATTTGTTTCTAAAGTTCTAAATCCTGATTATAACACCGCTGTCCATAAGAGCACAACAGGACTGTAGAATGCAAGTGTTAACACACACTAGCAATTGTTCACACACTAGCAATTGTTCACACACTAGCACCTTACTGTGCTGGGTTAGTACATTCTCCACCCCAGGTTCCACTATAAATGCACGTAGTGGGTATGTGCCAAAAATCAGGCATATAATAGAGGAAAAAGATAACCTTAATTGTGTTTATATTTGCATATCCGGGCTTGCTAGGAAGCTGGGCTCAGGTGCTGGGTCAGCCATGATATCATACCCCTGGAGCAGAGATGTTTAAGGGCCATGCTCAAGGACCCAGCAGTGGCAAACTTGGCAGTGCCAGGGCTTGAACTCACAAACCTTCTGATCAGTAGCCTACAGCTTTAACCACTGAGCCACCACCTCGCATTATGTACATCATATATCATTATTATCATATATTATCATTGATATTTCAAACTGTTGATACTATAGCCACCATTTTGGTACAGCATTTGAGCTTCAGAGATAAATGTGTGTCCTATTTAGAAAGCAGCATAAGGACAGCTGTCCTCTAATGTCCTTTATGCTTTTAAAGGAGTGTCCTTTTCTGGCTAGGCAAACACATACTTCTGTTCAAAGGATGCCACGAAACTGTGAAAAGCCCGTCGAACAGAACTATCCTCCTGGAGGAGAAATACTTTTCAGTAAAGTTATTTACAGCTTTGTAATAATAGTGCAGTAATTTCAGTATGAAAATGTATATATTATAAAATTTATATAATATCTTAACTATTACACTGTTATTACTGTTATTATTGAAAAGGTACTACTTTTCTGATAGGGAAACACTGATAGGGTTCTACATAGAGGGTTCCCCCAGAGGGACATCCGAAGTACTCAAGAAATTGAACGTAGTGCTGAGATTTGACATCTCAAAACGGTGCTGTCCCAAATTGAAGTCGTCTTTCCCCCCTCCCCAGCGCGCTCTGTAGAGTACGAGACAGACTTAGTAGTGCCCTCAGAGCTGCAGCAGGAGCAGGTGGAGCTGATTTGGGAAGCATCCCGGTGGAGTAGAGGGCGCAGGAGGCGCTCAGAGAACCAGCATGGCCACCTGTTCGTGTCATTGCCTGCCTTCAGTCGAGAGCTTTACCTGGAGCTCCAGAGGGATGAGGCTTTCCTCGCCGAGGGCTTCGTGGTTGAGGAGAGGAGTCGAGGACAGAGCGTCCAGCGTGAACCAGCTTTTAAAGGACGGGTCTGTTTCTACACTGGCACTGTCTTCAATCACACTGACTCGTTTGCTTCGCTGGACACTTGCGGTGGCCTGGTGAGTGAAAATGTTCTTTGCATTCCTGGTTCGCCACATTTTGAGTGAAGTTCAGAGACACGAACGCATTTCATCCTTAACATTTTTGTCTCTAGAGGTTTTCAGTCATCCTGGTCGT